GGAAAAAGTGCACTACTATGCTTTAACGAATCAGCATATTTTAAAAACAAAACTTTATAGCGCTTATATTGATGCAGAATCTGGGAGACTTCGCAAATAACATAGTCAAAACTGCTGTGGCAGACCTCAGCATTTCCACAGCCAGAAAAGTAATGAAGTCATGAACATTTAAAAACAATTTTAGTGGATGTAACAATGAATAAGGTAACATAGAATCTGTCAATAACTGAAGGTTATAATTTATTCCTTCCACCTTCGTAGTGTAGTGGTCAGCACGCTGGCCGCGTATTCCAGAAGTTCGTGGTTTGATTCACGGCGAGGGCATTGCTAATTTTTCATCTCACCTGCTTAAAAAAAAAAAAAAGTCTCTACAAGGTGAACAATAAAGTGCTTCTTTTCTGAAAATACACTAAATTATGGTGTTCCAAACATCAATGCAGACTTCCACACAGAAGGAAACTTTCATAATAATTTCTTTTGGCTAATTATGAAAAAAAAAATATTAAGGACGTTTACAAAAGAATTGATTTGCATTTCTACAGATATGTGAAATGCTTTCAAAAGTATCCCATTTAAGAGAATATGACACACACAAAAAGGGCTTAATAAAGTTATAGTAGAATGATTCCAAATACTGATAACTTTTTAAAAATTGCTTCAAAGACTTCTGGTTTGTAAGACTCCAATGAATGGGAAGAAAACTGGCTTCTAAGGACCAAGATTTTCTTGGATACTAACACAATCACTTTCAATAGTTTAAGGTGAAGTGATTATTATTGATAATACTGCAATGGTTGACGGTGGTTTCTTTTATTATGCAGTATTTAAGTTCCTAGATTCAGATTGTGGATAGATAGAAAGAAAAAAATCCAACATAGTTTAGCGACTTAATTGAATGACCATGTGACTTGGCTGCTATGAAGCACATTTTCTCACTTGTTGCCTCACAAACATGTAAAAAGCATAACATAACGATAAATGGCAACATTCAAAAAAGTTTTCAAATATCTAACATCAAACCATTAGAGATTTCGACAGATTTTTTTTTGCATGGACATAACTTTTACTCTTATCCAAGAGTAAATTGCCTTATGTTACTTTTATTACTTTTGACATGTAATTCTTCTATGTAGTATTTTTATATTAATTAAATTTACTTTGTTAAATGTAAAGTTTACATGGCCCTCTGGTTATAAATTGGCAGCCCAACAGCGGGCATCGAAAATTTAAAAATTATTACCGAAATCCGAGTGCAATTTTTTTCTTTGAGTTTTTCCTGCGTTAAAGGAAGAAAAACACCACCTTTGTGATATGGAAAAGTTTTGAATTTTGCCAACCTAGTAATGAACAGCCATCCTGGCAGTGAAGGATTAATCCAATATTCTTTGTTTAAGTAGGAATTTTATTTTATAAAAGTTAAATTGATTATGATAGTTTAACATAAAGTGAAAGCATGTTTAATTTTGTAAATAAAAGAGATATTAAGCAGAATTTAAGCGTAGTACAAATCTTAACGCTTATGTTAAAAAGTATCAAACTTTCCATTTATCTACAATGCAAAATTGCGTTTGATGAGCTCCGAGTTGAACTCCTGGGCACAATTTATTTTCTAAAATCAACACTGTGATTACTTCTGTGGTGTTTTTAAATGATGTTAAAGATTCTTCAACAACAAAAAAGATATTAATGCAACTACTGAAGGAGAAGAAATTACTAAGCTTGTTCAGTTGCAGAATCTAATTCTTAAAGTACAAACTATCAAAATGAAGAATGAAATAATGAATAAATGTGATAGTTTTAATATATGTTCACATTTGAAACTATGTAGATATTTACATTGTGCAATAGAAAATTTCTCCAAGAAAAAGGAAAATAAATGGCTCAAAATGTGTTGCATTAAGTGCAATTGTCTAGCAAAAATAATGAACAAAATTACATATCTATATCTATATATATATTCATGCAAAGGTGATATGCAGTAAACATAGTATTTATAAATGAATCGCTTGTCAAAATTTCCAGAAACATTTATGGAAATTTGAACTGTTAAGACAAAAATTGTATCTCTATCTTGTATAAAGAATTTCATCATGGCAAACAATAGTTGTGTAGATCTTGCAAAGCGTGGAGCTGTTGGATGCAAGAACTGCAATGTTAAAAAGACAAAAGATTAGTTCAAATTGTGAAAAAATTGCCAACCCTTTTATTGAAAGTTCAGCATATTTGAGAAGCTTTCAAAAGCACGACCTACAGCAAAGAAAACGGAAGGTACTGATGATCTTGAAAGTTGGGATCAGCTCAGTAAAATTTTAGTAGCATCACCCCGAGTCTATGCAGTTTTAAACGAATCATCTGGATTTAGGGAATCATCCTGATTCAATGTTAAATGAATCATCCCGATTCAGTGAAGTTTGAATGGAATAATCCTGATTCCATCTTAAATGAATCATCCTGATTCAGTGAAGTTTCAGAGAATCATCTCGATTCATTGATGTTTTGGAGATATTCCGATTCAGTGATAGAACACACAGTCAAAAGTTAAATAAGTGTAAATTTAAAATTCCTTGCTGTTTGCTTTAATTAGTTCATAAAAGTTTGTCTGTGTACAAAATTGCGACATTTTCCTTTTTTATCTTCCACAAAATGAACACTGGTAATGCTGAACTATATGATATTTACTGATCCTGTAATGAATCAAGTGCTGAAGACGAAGATGAACTGTCAATTTCTTTAGCACGGATTCCTCATCTAGAAAAATTAGAGAATGAAGAGTTTCATTACGCACTTCTGTCTATAGAACAAATTGTTCAACATACGGCTGACTGTATACGCGAAGTAAATACAATAGTACAGATTACTTCTACTGTTACACGAATTCTTTTGTATTATTATTCGAGTGGTCAAGTTAGACAGAGAGAAGTTGTATGAAGGATATTATGACAGTGATCAAGATGCACATTTTAAAGCATAATTAATACATACAAGAAGCCTTCAAACTCATCATCAAATGAATCAGGATTTATGCCTCATAGAGATGAATGTGAAATATCTTGCAAACTCTTCATCGAGACGTCATCAGAGCCTGAGGGGAAGTCTATAACCTAACGGTAAATGGCAACAGTCAAAAAAGTTTTGAAACATTTAACATCTCAAGATTAACTTATTACATTACTTAGAGGTTTCGACAGATTTTTTTTTTTTTTTTTTTTTTTTTTTTATGGACATAACATTTCCTCTTATCAAAGAGTAAATTGCCTTATGTTACTTTTATCACGTTTGACATGTAATTCTTCTATGTAGTGTTTTTATTTTAAATAAACTTACTTTGTTAAATGTAAAGTTTACATGGCCCTCTGGTCATAAAAGTAATTTTTTTAAAGCCTAATTTAAAAAAAAAAAAAATTGTGTTTTAGGACCTATGTAAACAAAAATTAAATTTGTTTTATTTTATTTGGAATAAAAATAGACTGTATGTTTAGGTAAATGAAAAATAATTCTTTGATCATTACTGTTGTCCCTCCCCAAAAAAAGTACTTTGGGTTTTGTTCACAGGAATAAAAAAAATTAAAATCTTAAAAGAGTCTTATAATTATTGTTATTTAAAATCTTAATCTTTGATGAAATAAAATATAATGAATGAAAAATAAAATTCTTACACTTAATAAATATCTATTAGATTTGGAAAAAAACTATGCATATTTTTACTTCCTTGTACAAAGTATTGTAATCACGAAAAATTCTGGGTATCATATTTCAATGAAAATATCCATTTTGACAGCTACTGAATGCAATTTAACAATGTTTTTGCAAGACATCTGTACGTAAGGACAGAATAAAGGACTCTTTTCACCCAAATGAATTATAGAACTGATCTAAAATAGATTCAGGAGATATCTTTTTGTGACGTCTGTACGGTGTGTGTATCTTGCATAACTCAAAAACGAGTAGCCTCCGAACATTGAAATTTCGTATGTAGGACTGTTATAACATTATAATATGTAGTTGTCTACTTCCCTTTTTGGTTGCCAATCGGCCGCACCAAAAGTATATTAATATATATATACACACTCTGTTACCTGGCTCTATGAGCTCAGCTTTTTTTTATTCTTATATGTTGGTAAATTGTACATTTTTTACTTTAAAAATGATTGAACTACGTTGTTCTTATCTTTCGGTTAAGGATTTTATGCCTTTAGTTAATCTGCGTGCGATAGTTGTAGAATTATCAACAATTTAAAAAATGTTTAAGTTCGGCTAAGCCTAATTTTTCCAACCATAGCAGACATATTCGTTTACATTTGTAACTTGGTGGAATAGTGATGCGTCTTCAGCGTCTTTTTGTTGAGTGGGACCAAAAGGAAACTTAGTTTTGTGCACCGAAAAATCTGCCTTTTTGATTGGTGGCCAAATTGCCTGTTTTTGCTCAGAAACTGCAATTTTAATTGTAAAATTGTTTTTTTTAATTGTTTTAACTCTATTTGGTGTTTTATGTTTTTCTATATCTTTTAATTTTTATGAAGATATTTTGAATTTTTATGTATTTTTGCCTTGCTGTGAAGTGAGAACTGAATTAAATAAATGAATGAAAAATATACCTCCAATGAAATTGAAGAAATAAGTTTTTCGTATCAGCAGCAAATGTTGTCTCAGAGACAGGAGGATGTTTACGAGTAGCACATGCGCATTAGTTAAGCGGCACTGAATAGTCTGTGAAAAATTGTTTATTTTATTTGTCTTTATTTCTTTTATACATCCTTTTAGATTTATTATAATATTTGACTAGAACATGTGGCAACAATCAGATAATTTTTCAGATGATATACTTTTTGTGCATTCTGAGTTATAAAATGAATGAGACGTAACGCTGTTAAGTGAACCTAGCGCCAGTGTGTCGCTATAGTAAATAGATACAGTGAATTTTAAAGAGTGCATTTATTCTACTGTGGTTTATGCACTATGGACGAAGTAGATTTAATTAAATTTAATAAGTTTAAATGAAATGCAAGGAAAAATGGGTATAATTTAATTTTTTGTACAAGGAAGTCATGGTGTACACATCAGATATTTTTAATATGCAAACAGGCTGTGATGTTGATTAATCTGGGAGTTTGGAGATATACGTCACACAGAAATGTAAACATATTATTAATTCTCGAGATAGAAGCTCATTATATTCTAGTCACAGAATATACAATACTTCAAAATACTATTCAAAGAACCTTTCACAGAAGACAAACAAAGAAATGTCTATCATATTAAATAGCAAAAGTACTTGATCTAAGATATAATAAATGGATTTAAGAATTTTGCTTTTGTTCTGGCATTAACAAGTTTTGTAATATTTTCAGCACTCAAGTATTTTTACTTTTGAAAGACTCTTGAAATTTTTATCGAATTACTTTGTATACTTGTTCTTTAAACAAAAATTATATCAGAATTGCAGCAGATTAGCATTAATGACTGCATGATTTTTATTCTTTTATATACTGTATCGTTACTATACAAAATTTAGAATTACAAGATTTGCTATAATAGATTTACACATGCTTATTATTAAAAATGTTTATAAACTATCACTATAGATACTTGAAAATATAGGATAACTAGTTTTAGTGACATTTACTAACATAACTCATAGTGGTGGACTTAAGAGCGGATTTAACTTTTATCAGCCTCTCATCTTAAGACAGAGGGTATCTTTACTATTTTAAAAACATAATTGATGACTGAAGGTTGTTTAGAAATACAATGCCTCTTGTGACCCATACTACATTTATAAGCACCACAAATATGCCAATATCACATATTTAAATGCACTCCTGTATCTGCAAGACATTTCTCAAGAATATTGGGACTTTCAGCATTAAAAAGGATAATAATTATTATATACAACTTCCAAGTTAATTCCATGTTACACAAAACTGAAATTCTATAATATATGATTAGACATAATATGTATATTCTCATTAAAAAAAATTCAGTATCTGAGTATCCTGAATATCTAAAGCACATTTCTAGGAATAACTTTAACCCATTTTATATATGAAAACTTGAATATTTTATTGCACATTTTAACAAATAAAATGAACACATTCATTATAAAAAAAAAAAATATGGAAAGCTTCTTTAACAAATAAATTTCACTTTTACATATTTAAAATAACAGTAACATCCCTAGCTAAAATATCAACAATCTTTTAGAATTTTATTAATTTCAACACACAATACTTTCAGTTTTGGCAGAATGCAGTTTTCCTAGTTTTGTGGAAAAGATTAAGTAATGACAGTTGGAGCATCCCTGCCAGTATATTCCTTAATTTTTGTAAGCTTCAAAGCTATGTTAATCAACGGTTTTAACACTTCCTGCAAAGAAAAATGCAGATAAACAAAGATCAGACACAATATATTTTTTTATGACTTACCTTAAAATAAGAAATCAGGTAAACTGAAAATAGCTAGCAAATGTCTAAAAATAATTATTAGACTTAGAAGTACTTGTTTATTTATTTATTTATTTATTTTTTTATAATTTTATTTTACTTCCAAATAAATCAAATTTAAGAGCTGTACAAGGGGGTAAAAGTATTAGGTTGAATGGAAACAAGGTTATTTTAGTAGAACCTTTTATTAAACTTCACTTTTTTTATTAAATATTTATACAAAAACATATACAAATGCTTACTAATTCATGGAAATTCACTTTATCCAAATCCACACTTGCAGAAGCTCTAAATGTGTAGGCTTTCCAGTAATCAAATAAATTCAAAATTGATGTTCACTTTAACAAAAGGCAAGAAGCGAAACTATTGTTGGCTTTTGTTTCATCTAATCAATGCAAAGAAAGTATCACTTCAATTGTGAAAGAACATGAAAGTTTAGGATACTTTTGTGGAAGAATTGTGAAAGAACATGAAAGTTTAGGATACTTTTGTGGAAGATTTCAATGCTTAAAAATAATAGCACAACAGAAAAAATATAGATTAATCTGGGCAACCAAATAGACTATTGTACAAGGTGTCTATAATTAAAGAACCCTAATTCAAAGCTGCCTTACAAGCAAAACCACTGATCAGAAAATTGTGAAATTTTGTGGTAGACTTCATGAAGGAATAAGAATGTTTTTCAGTGAAAAAAAAATTTCAAATAGCATCACCAGACAGCATTAATAAATTATACATTCTGCCACATCTTTACAAGAGTTTTAGAATTTTGTCACAAAAAACATGTTCTACATCAGTGGTGCCCAACCTTTGGCCTATCGCGAGCACATTTCCAAAACATCAACATTTTTATTAAACATATTTCAAATTTTATGTGACACATTTGAAATATTAATTTCGGCAAATGGGTTTGAGATGAATAATAATATTGGTTGAACTTTATGGAAATCAGAGAAGTGGAGTTAAAAATGATTTTTCAGTGCATTTAGGTTTTCCGAGTATTTCTTTGTTTCAATTGCCTTGTGGTTATTAATATGGCTTGATAAATCCTGAAAATGGGTGAATTTTTTTTTTCTTTCATCTGATTTATCCACAAATTTTACTTTATCTGAAAAGCAGTTACAGTCCCAGTCAATTGAAAAAGGGTTTATTCTTTTTCCTGGAGATTTTTGTTCAGTTTAGCTGTTATATCCGTGAAAAATACAGATCGGATAACCAATTATTATCATCCAATTTTTTATAACTTTTGTTTCTGGATTTCAAAAACTGCTTTATTGGCAAAAGAAGTTCTACAAATTGTTGAAGTACATTTCCCCTGCTGAGCCATCTAACATCAGAATGAAGCAATAAGATTTCATGTTCGCTATCAAGTTAGTCAGCAATAAATTATTTTATAATGTCTTGCAAGATATCTCTTATGACAGTAAATGCTTACCATATTTTAAAAATTAAGAAATATAAATATGAATGGTTATTTTAAAAATATTTTTTGTTTATAGTACCTAATCGGGCTGGCGAGCACAAGGTTGGACACCGCTGTTCTGCATGATGGCAGTCATTTTTAACTACCATCTGAAATTGCAAGACTACATGTTCCACAGCTGACTGAAGTTTGTGCTGGGAAATGTTCAGCACATGGTGTGAAAGGCTTTAAAATCAGGTAAAGTTCTTTGTCATAACTTAACAGATGTTTCATATGTCTCCCAAACCAAAAATCCCATGGACTGATGTCTGGGGATTGGGAAGACCACACATTACAAAAGTGCTGGCTGTTTTGATAAAACAATTTTACTGACAAAATTCAATTTTGTAAACTTATCATCATTATGAGCAACAAGCACATTGAAAACAAAGTCTCCACGGACCTTTCTAGGTTTTATAACAGCTGCTGCATGACGTCGACAAAGATTTACAATTTTACTACAGGTTTTCAAAGTAAAATACCCTCTGGTGATGCTATTTGTAACTAAATATTTTTTCTCTGAAAGACATTCTCATCCCTCCATTAAGTCTGTTACAAAATTTCACCATTTTCTGATCACTGGTTTTGCTTGTAGGCAGCTTTAAAATAGGTTTCTATAATTCTAGACAGCCTGTATTTTAAGCTTTTCAGCCTAAACAAATAATACTCAAAGCAAGTGTGGGGAAGGGGGGGGAATTAAAAACATTCTCCATATGGTTTTTTTTTTAAAGCAGCAATTTTTGTTTGAATTATTTAAAACAAAATTTTATTATTTGATAGACATGACTTGTACTTTTCTTTGTCACCTCGCTGATCACCCCCTGTTTTTTTTTTAAATTCTAATCCTCTCAGACTTTTCTAAAGTTTTTATATCGTATTTCCTCACGCATTCTCCCCTAGCTTTTCACTGCCAAGTTCTCAAAATTTAAAAATAATTTCCCCCTTTCTCAATGCATTCAGAGAAAACGCTCCCTTAAATTTTAAAATGGATTCATTCATGAAGCAATTGTTTTCATAATAATAAACTATCTGCAAAGGTCACCCTGAACCTTTTCCTTCCAACTTGAATTTTATGATTTGACCCAACATTGTGAAGCAAATGCTAACTCATATTCAGTTTATGATTTCATTGAGACAGCTGCACATTCACCTTTGTCAATCATTTCATGGATGATTTGAGGTCTAAGGAGTAGCAAAGACAACAATAAAAACAAGTAAGATTGAAGCTATGCAAATATTAGATACTAAAATGTTACTGTGTATTCCTATTGGAAAGTAGGTTTCTTTTAAAGAAATAACATTGCAACAATTATTTGTAGATTATGCTAGACTATTTTCCATTTGCTATATTCTTACTGTAACTACATCCTTCGAAAATTCACATTTCCCCCTCTCAAATTTCAGGTGATGAAACTGGTAAAAAAAAAAAGGGGGGGTATATCCATAAAAATACAGTATTTTCAGATTTTTTTTACTATTATTTATTTATTTTGACACATTAAGATTTTCCAGGTGAGTGAAAATCCTGTTCAGAAAGGATAATAAAATCATTTCATTATCATTTAACCTTTTAACTGTCAAGTTATTTGGATGATTTGGATGCATAAATTGTCAATTTTTTTTATTCCAAAATTGAAAATTTGCCTTGCAATAATAATAATAATAAAAAAAAAAAAAAAAAAAAAAAAAAAGATGCTGCGCACTTTTGAACTTTATCCTCTATTCCTTTGAAACCTTCAGTAAAGCACTGTCCATCTGTTAAATTGAAGCCGAAATAAACTTCTCACAATATATATTCGGGTATAAAAATACGATGCACTCCAAAAAAAATTAGCCCGAAGTTATATGCTCGGGACATGACATTTTGGAATACCAGTGCTGTGCCCGAGGTTATGGGCATGACAGTTAAAAGGTTAAGTTAACTTTAGCTTGAAATTCACAAATAAATATATTATTACTAAGATTACGTTCCAGAATGGTTTAAAAAAATTATTTAGTACGATTTTTTTAATAATTCCCCTTTATTTGAAAAATGTTCGTCTTTTGGTAGATAGGTGGCGCTCTTGATGCGCGCCGATGAAAAATATATCACTTGACGCTTGAACATGAAGAATGACGCATGTCATATTTATTTGATGCTTGATTATGTTTCATGGCCGCTATAGGCGGAAGTAATATAAGTAATAAGTTTATCGTTAATAAATGTTATTTCTATGTTCTAAGAAATCTTGAAGTTTTGATTTGATTTGAAATTCTAATGCTCTCCCAACCTTGACTCCTGAAACGAAACGATCTATGAATTTATGACTCATGAAGAGAGACACAACATATATTTTTCTGGTGTCTGAAACCCGCGACAAGGGGAATTACCTTTTGAAAGGTAAGAAATTTGATTTATTTGTTCTTGGTATCGATCTTTGAAAACGAAACATAATGGATGATTTAGCAAAAGAGAAAAAGAAACGTGCTATTGTACGTAGTAAAGTTACTACACTTCTAAATAAACTTGAGAAATTATTATCGGAAGAATTAAGTAAAGAACATCTAGAAGATTTAAATTCATCATATGAATTGTTAATTGAATACCATGAGAAACTTAAAACTCTTGACTCAAAGATCGATGCTCTCATAATTGATGAAAAAGAATATGATAACGAACTACTTGTATGTGAAGAGTATGATGAAAAAATTATAACGTTTAAAGCTAAGATTGTTAGTAAAGTAAAGAAAATTAACAGTAATGAAGTTGTTGAAAGAAGTATAATTACAACTAGTAATGGTATTAGTAGTACTCTGAATGGTAATAATGTTGTTACAAGTAGTGCTTCAGTAAAGTTACCTAAATTAAATATTGAAAAATTTGCTGGTGATCCCAGTAAATGGCTCGAATTCTTTAATTCGTATGATAATGCTATTCATTCTAATCCAAGTTTATCTAAAATAGATAAGTTTACATATTTGAAAAGTTTATTATCTGGTTCAGCATATAATTGTGTTTCTGGTTATGCTTTATCTGAAGAAAATTATGATCTATGTATTAAAAGTTTAGAAGAGAGGTTTGGTCGTAAAGATGTTATTATATCAAAATTCATGCAGATGTTGTTACAGTTAGAACCAGTTAAAAGTTCTTCAAATGTTCAAATGTTTTTGAGTTAAGAAAGCTCTATGATCAGTTACAAATCTGCGTTAGAAATTTAAGTAGTTTAGATGTTACTAGCGGTTCATACGGACAGTTATTGAACCCAATAATTCTTAAATTGTTACCTGAAGATTTAGCTCTTGAATTCCATAGAAAAAGAACATCTAACCAAAATATAGAAGTAAGTGAATTAATAGAGTTCATTAAAATAGAAACTGAATGCCGAGAAGCAAGTATTTTGATTAATAGCTCAAAAGGTAATAAATACACAGGGGTTAATCCTAAACAAGGGTTCAAAAATTATAAAGTCAAATCACAAGCT